GACTCCAATAACCTCACTTCAGACTGCAAAGCTGGTCCAAACACCTTCATATTCCTCCAGTACCACACTAACCAAGCAGTTACCAAAAAAATAAGGCCTCCCAGCTCCTTCAAGCAATCCCCACTTATTCCCCACACCACCGCCTCTGCCATCCCAAATATATCATTTGGCAAAACACTTTGTAACCCCCACCATCCCAAAACCTTCGTCCATACCAACCACACCCCTTCACACTCACAAAAAATATGATGTAACCTCTCCACCCCCTCATTACAAAACCCACAACTCACATCCCCACCTGTCAACACAATCCCTCTTTTACCCAAATTCTCTTTAGTGGCCAACCTATCCAAAAATAATCTCCACCCGAAAACACTCAACTTCGAAGGAACATATTTACTCCAAATAATCCGGGACCATTTCTCATCCAGAACACAAACTTTCGGTGATAGAAAATCATAAGCTGCCTTTACAGAATAGGTACCATCACTGCCATGAATCCAATGCCAAGAATCTACTTCCTCCCTCCTCAATCTTACCCCATTAATCATATCCCTAAGCTGTCCCTCCTCCCCTACAGCCCTCCCTATACATCCTCGTCGCCATCTACAATCCCATACCCAAGTCTCCTCCCTCCAAAATCCCATATCCTTCAACCGACCCTCCCTCATCGTAGATAACACAAACAGCCTCGGAAATAGATCTTTCAAGGACTTGTCTCCCACCCATTTATCCCTCCAAAACTCTACACATCTTCCCTCACCAACCCTCCATTGAAAACCCTTTACTAACATCTCCACTAACCTTTCGGACCCCCTACCCACACTCACAATATCCTTCCACACACGAGACATCGTCAAAGATTCAAAAGAAGTTATATCCGCCTCCTTTCGCCCCCCATAATATTTCTCCCATATCACTCTCTTCCATAAACCATCCACTCCATCACCTAGTCTAAACCACCATTTACCCAGCAAAGCAAAATTTCTCCTCTCTAAATCAGCTATTCCTAAACCCCCTCTTCCCTTCTCCACACACAAACGATCCCAACTAACCCAGAAAATCTTCTTTTCGGACTTCACCCCCCCCCAAAAGAAATTCCTCTGAATCTTAATCAATTCAACAAGCACACATTTAGGAATTTTAAATAAAGATAAATAAAAGATAGGAAGAGCAGACAGTACCGAGTTAATTAAGGTAATCCGGCCTCCAAAGGACAGTAGTGGGCTTTTCCAAGTGGCAAGCTTATGACGAAAACGATCCAGCACAGAATTCCAAAACTGTTTCCTCCCCGGATTCCCTCCAACCGGCAAACCAAGGTAGATAAAAGGCATCCTTCCAATCCCACAATGCAAAATGTCAACTGCACCTTTTACCCACCCTTCCGAAATGTTAAACCCATACAAATAACTTTTGCTAAAATTTATCTTTAATCCTGAAATCAATTCAAACCAATGCAAAATGGCTTTCACAACCTTTAAATTCCCTGCACATGCCTTTCCCATGAAGACAGTATCATCCGCAAACTGCAATAATGACAACACCATACCACCCCTCCCAATTTCCAAACCTTTCAACAAACCTTCACACTCTGCTTTTTTCACCAGCCCGCACAAACCTTCACCCACTAATAAAAACAGAAAGGGGGATAAAGGATCTCCTTGACGAAGACCTTTACTGACTGAAAATTCCGACGTCGGACTTCCGTTTAGTAAAATAGAAATCCTAGCTGTTGAAAGACATTCCCGAATCCACTTTCTCCATTTAACCCCGAAACCCATTCTGTCCATCATCCAATCCAGAAAATCCCAATCCACACAGTCATATGCTTTTTCAAAATCAGCCTTCAATATAAAGCTCTCTTGTTTCTTTCTCTTCACCTCATCTACTACCTCATTCAAAACTAACACACTGTCCACCAACTGACGACCCCCTACAAAAGCTGATTGTGACTCACTTATAATATCTGCCATTACCCTCTTCAACCTATTAGCTAAAATTTTCGCCAATAATTTATACAAGCAACCAATCAGACAAATAGGCCTATACTCTTTAAACTGCACTGGATTCAAAAGTTTAGGTATTAATGCCAAGAAAGAGGAATTAAGACCTTTAACTAACCTCCCATGATAATGAAACTCCTGCAAAAACTTCACAAAATCGTCCTTCAACGTGTTCCAAGCAAACTTTATAAAATTGAAGTTGAAACCATCTGGGCCTGGCGCCTTTGACCCATCACAACTTCGAAGACCCTCTTCAATCTCCTCTATGGAAAACGGTCTTTCTAGCCACTCCTTTTGTGCTCCAGAGATTTTACGAAATTGGATCCCTTCCATTACAGGCCGACTCCACTGCTCTTTGTGGAATAATTTACTAAAGTATTTAACTGCCTCAGCCTTAACTAACTCAGGTTCCTCAATCCAGCCCTCCTCCCCTAAGATACCATCAATTCCATTCTGTGCCCTCCTTGTCTGCACACATTTGTGGAAAAAAGCTGTATTGGCATCCCCCAAACGAACCCAATTGTTCCTTGATTTTTGCTTCCACACCGCTTCTTTCCTTCGTAAAATGTCCCACATCCCCTGAAAGCATTCCTTTCTCAATAGCACCTCATTTTCACTCAGCTCCTCTTCCTCACTTTTTTTATCCAACCTCTCAATATTCTTCAACATTGTATCGAGCTGAGTCTCCACATTACCAAAAACCCCCCTATTCCACCCCTTGCAATCCTCCTTTAATAATTTCAGCTTCTGTTTACATTGGAAAGCCGCCCATCCTTCAATCTGCAAACTCTTCCATTTATCCTCAACAAAACCTCTAAAATCAGCTTGTTGTTGCCATGCGTCAAGAACTCGAAAAGGCTTGGGACCCCAATCTTTATTTCTTGACGACAAAATAAGTGCACAATGGTCTGAAATTGATCTTCGAACCCCGACTTGAACCCAGTCTCTATCCAATAAACTCATTTCTGTGGATAACAAAAACCGATCCAACCTACTCATTGAAGAGCCATCAGGTCTGTACCAGGTGAATTTCCTATTCCTCAATCTAACATCGATTAATCCACACCCCTCTACAAATTGATTAAAATCTCCCATGTCCAGAGTCTCTCCTAGTCTCCCCTTCCTCTCTGCCCCATTCCTTACTACGTTAAAATCCCCTGCTAAGAGCCATCTACCACCCTCTTCCAGAACTAACTTGCTCAACTCATCCCACAACATAACCTTCCTCTGCCTATCACATGGAGCATACACATTAACAAAATTACATCTCAACCTCTGCTTTCCCCACTCCCCTGAAATCCCACTAAAACCGCTTCCTTCTATCACCCTGTCTTTAACAAAATTGCTCTTATTCCATATAGACAATAAACCTCCCGAATTGCCTACTGAATTTTGCATCACCCAGTCAAAATCCTCAGAATACCACAACTTTCTACACAGAGAAACCTCAACTCCCTCTAATTTTGTTTCCTGAATAAATAGAAAATCCGGCTTCTCCCTATTCACCAATTTACAGATCTCCTTTCTCTTAATCACACTACCCAATCCCCTAACATTAAAAGAAATCACCTTCATTAATAAAACCCATAAAAACTCACATACCTCCAACACCCATTCCCGGCACATCAGGCACGACCGACGATGCCTCCATCCCTTTCCTCTAAAGCCACCAACCTGGAGATCACCTCTTCTTCATTTTGGTGACATTGAATCCCCAACTTCTGCCCCATCACAAACAGCTCTTTCACTTCGTCCATCTGCATCTGCTTTCGAATCACCTCATTCCGGTGTCGGATGCACCCATCGGATAGAGAGCAGCTTTCCATCTGCGGTTCATCCCCTCGCACATCTGTGACCCTTCGATTTCTGCGAGCTTTAGTCCTTGCCGTGACCCAGCTGTTGCCTGTTTTCCTTGGTTCCTCCATCCCAATCGCCCCTGCATAAATCGTTCCCAAGCTTCTGCGTTTCTTCTCTGTCCAGTTCGGTCGGGTTGACTTAACATAAAGACCCTCCAGCCCATTTCCGGACCCAGCTTCAACACTTCGGTCTTCAGACTGTTGCCCCCCTTCTCTGCCCTTATGTGGCCCATTAAAAATGCCTCCACTCGGCCCAAATATCTCCAGCCCATTAAATTCCATCTTCTCACCCGAAACTCCCACATTTAAATCTACTTCTTTTTGTAACGTCAAATTTAAAACCCTTTCCGTTGCAGCGCATTCATCGGCCAACACTGCCCCATCATCGCCTGAAAATCCGTTCTCATTGAAAGTTGATTCACTGTATCCATCATCAGAATATTCTGATTCAGATTCTACCACCGGATTCCGCCTTTCCCCGGCCAACCACCAATCCGGGTCCATCCTCCACTCCTCCTCCTGCACTGCTATCGGGAAAACTATGCCGTCAACCTTCAGAGCAATTGTGGCCGATATTTTACTCTTTTCCTCACTTAAGATCAACACCCGTCCTTCACACAAAAAGGACTTACTTCTCGTATCCTCATCCACTAATATCACATCTCCGATTAATCCACCTAACTCTGTGAAGCATCTCTCGCTCCAGGCCTTTAATGGAACACCAGTGAACCGAAGCCATACCAATCTACTCCCCGAAGCTTTCATGGATGAAGAAGTTGGTTGAAACCATTCGAACCAAGAGTCCACTAATTCACTGTTATGACTGATAAACTCCTCCAGGCATCCTTCTGAATAATCAACTAAAATGACATGGTGACCACCAAGCAAAGCCACATTCACCAGTAAGCCATCTACCTCCAACCTGTTCTGAATTTTCTTCACCATATCTAAAGATCGAACCATCGCCACCATACTTCGTTTCAACCAAGCTACTTCCTCATCATTAGGAGAAAATTCTAATACCAAATCAGTTTTTGAGAAAAACCTTTCCTCCACCCTACCGTCGCTTATCAACGGCACAGTACTCCTTTCTGGTATTGTCTCCTGAACCACCTCCACTACCGGTTCCATCTCTTTTGTACTCTCAACCTGCCTGACATCATTATTCGAAGACATCCCTACCTCGGATGCGACGACGTTGCCAGCTACAACCTGAGCATAAGTCATCTCTGGAGTCACCTTACGTTCTCTTCGAATCCATTTTCTCTCCACCTGCCTATTCTGATTCGTTGTAAACACCCCCCTCTCTCTTTTCATGTTCCCTGCCAATTTTACCTTGAGATGATAAGATCCAAGCCAAATCTGATTCAATCTACGTTCCATATCCTTAACATCTGAGACCTCTGCCATACGGACGAAACCAAAACGACGCCCTCTCCGATCACGCCTTGCCGGAATAAACACATCTGCCACCTTCCCAAATGACCAAAAGCAAAACCACATATCCTTCATTGATCGATCTGCTGGAAAATCATAGAAGAAATACGTAGTTACCTGCGCTAGAAACTGCCTGCCATACCCTGGAAGCTGCCGCTTGGTCCCACTACCACTGTCCTTGGCTGCCGGAGACCGATCCTTAACCCTAGCACTCCCCCTCTCCATGTCTTCTATTAGGTTTAAAAACCCATTATTCATATATCGAAGTTACATTTAAGAATGATGTTGCACACGTTTTCCCCCAATTCATCCCGGATCTCCCTCTCTGTATTTCAAATAGGTACCCGTACCATTCGTGAACTAAAATAAGATGGAATGTGTCGACAATTAAGCTATGTATTAATTAAAGCTATGTATGTATTTTTATGTTTGGTTCTGTTCGCTGGTTAGATGTTATTTTTATTTTTTTTTTAACTGTATAGTGTGTGGCCAAACACCCGCTCTGTCCTTGTTGGGAAGATATTTTGAATTATTCAGAACAAATATGAAAAATTTTAATGGAGCTTGGATTTGAAGTTGTAGTGAGATTTAGTCTTTTAATTTGATTTTAACGATTCTAATATCAAGTGAAACAACTTAAGTTGAAAGTCACCACCTCTAATAATTTTTTGAACTAAAGTTCACAAATCCTTAAAAATTTAAATTCAGGTTATTAATAATAGTTGATTTATATATTTATATACTAAATTCACTTACAGTTCACTACTAAAATTCCAACTTTCAGCAACATGCTCCCATGATGCTGAAAGTGCTTGCATTGTTGCGGAAAATGCTTGCAATGTAGGTAAAAACCTTTTAGCAACATGGCTTTCGTTGCTGAAAGTTTTGTTGGAAAAAGCTTGCTGGCTGATACATTAGCAACAACAGGTATGTTGCTGATGTATCAGCAACATACCCCTTGTTGCTAAAAGAACACTTTTACCAACGTAATTTATGTTGGTAATATTTTTGCCAGATTCCGGTGACCGGAGGTGGAGATTATTCAACCATTTTCAGCAACAAAAGCCACGTTGCTGAAACTATATTTTTAGCAACGTGGATCATGTTGCTGAAAGTTTAAGAGAAA